CCTTTGCGTGCCCTTTTCTTTTTACACTGACGGCCATGCTGACGGAGTTGTTTTTCAATCAGCTGTTGGGAAGACAACCTACACCTTGCCATAACAGCATGATTTTGACACTCATTTCTATTTTACCTTTTGATTTTTTTCTTAACACTCCAAAATTATGCCCATGCACGGTTTCACAATTAACCTTTCGTGACATTCCCAGCAGTAGGAGTTAGAATCGCTCCTTATCAGACTGCCGACACCAATGATCTACACACCCTGGAATCAAACATACATGCTATATAGAAACACCTCCATTGTTATAGAAACTAGATATGGTGTGACGACCAATCATTCGTGTTCAAATCCCTTTCTACGGAAACACAATAAACCAAAGTTGCTAATCTGTGAATGTGAACACTGAGCAAATTGACGATCCGGAAAAAGAACGAAGCTATATGATTAGTAATAGTATAATCATACGGCTGAATCTGGCTTATACATTCAAATTGATAGAAAAAACGCTATAGAATGGAGAATGATCTTATGTATTATATACAAAAGTCCAGAAAGTCTAGGGCGACTATTGCTATCAGAAAGATATCAAGAAACACAAATATTTAACTTACATAATTAAAAGTCTTTACAATGATCAATAAGCAGGTGTTATGCTACCCATCGTTTCTTTGTTAATTATTTGTTCAGCTAACCTTTCGTAAATGACATAAATGTGGAATGTTGACGCAAATGTTATCGATACATGTATTGGCTTTACTAAGCTTATTTGATTATGTCGGTTTGCAAAGTTTTCCACTATTTGTTGAAAAATAATCCTTGCTAAAAATCCTGACATGTTGCAATGGAACAAGCTCAAATTCATCCAGACAATATTCAATCCTTGTTGAAGGACAAAGGAAATTCAATCTAACACGGTTAGCTGAGCTGTACAAGGACGCAACTCATCTATACCTGAATATATATGATATTGAACTGACTGTAGCAATTTCAGGCAGTGCATTAATGTTACCGCACATAATATTATGATAAGGTTGCGTGTGGGATTTAATGATATCACTTTTCATGAGTAAATAGATATTCTCTATAGGAATAGTTTTCTTTAATGTCATTGTTTTGGATTATCCAATACATATACTTCAGCAGTAAGTTTTTTTTTGTTTACGGTGGATGGGTAGTCCGATTCTGATTTGACGATTTAAATGGATTTTTAGTATATAGGCCTAACGAGCATACATTTGTCTCGGGTAAAATCGGTTTCTAACGAAAGATGTGGGTTTCTCTCCCCTCCCCCCCTCGCCCTCCCCTCGCCCCTCTCTCCCCTCACCCCCTCTCTCTCTCTCTCTCTCTCTCTCTCTCTCTCTCCTATTCATGCCAAGGCACCAATACAAGCAGCGATTCAGCCTTTGGTATGTTGATGGAATAGTTTCAAGGTATTTACTAAGTAGATTTGGTAGATGAGGTACATACAGGTACATCTGTACATACATACCAGACACACATACCAAGACATGCCCATCTTATTATTACAGCTATCTATACTTCATAAATCATACCTCACCAGTCATTACAGAAGGCAATGTTTACTTTGTTCTCTAATGGAGCAAGTGTATAGTCTGGAGCATCTTGGGGCATTTGGGGGGGGGGTCCTAATCGGAGGTGCGGAGGGACCCGTTTTTGAATGAGTCGGGGCGTCGTGACATCAGAATCTTACCTTCCCTTTCTGCCCCACCTCATCCCCTTCCATTTCCCCCTCCCCCTCTCCCTCTCTTTCTGTCTCTCTCTTTCCTTCTCTCTCTGTCTCCCCTATTTCCAACACAACGAGTAAATAGTAAATGGAGTTGATTAGATACAATAATTATAAATAAAGAAATAATAAGCTATCAAATCTCAATGCTAGAATCACCACTGAGAACTGAATCAAGTTAGAAATCATCTGGGAATGTATATTCCATTTCGTTTCGTTTCGTTTCCACGCTTGTCAGAAGAAAGGCACGTTAAAATGTCCTAATTTGACTCAAGCTGTCACAATTTATCAAGCTCTGTTAAACTCAATCTGACGTGGTGGGTCTGATATATCTTCCTATCGCACAGTGTCAAGGTCTTCGAGGATCATCTACTCTGTGATGAGAGAGCAGGATGACATTGACCAACCAAAGAATGCATCAGAGCAGGCATAGGTGATCCGCTCAGGTACAAGTGAAAATGATCAAAGTTTACTTTTTTTGTTCTTCTTCTTTGTTTAACCTATTGCGTTTAAACCCTGTTTAACATGCCAGGTTTTTATGTAATTGTTTCAAGGCACTTAGATTTTGAAACGATGCTTGTATGGCGGGGTAACCCTAAAGAAAAAATAAAGACATAAAAGGAACATAAAGCATCTTAAATGAAACAAAATGATACATTTCTGCAAACACAATGAAATATCAGATCAAGGTATAAAAAGATCAAGGGACTGATTATATTAATGTAATGACTTCATTAGAGGTACATGTACTGAAGAGAT